GTAATGAACCTTCTGATTCAAAGATTCCAAAATCAACCTCTGATGCACACTACTATGTTCACCCGCCCCCCCTCCCTCCCCCCTCCCCCCACGGCACCCGCCCCCCGCTGTTGAAGGTCTGGCGCACAGACCTTTTGTATCCCTCTCCTTGTCTCTGCTTCTCTCACGCTGAGGTGCAATGAACTCGAGGTCGAAATCATCATCCGTTATTGTGGTGGTAGAAGGCCCACTCCTGTGGACAGACGGCACACCAGCTCGAAACAGCGCAGCAGCCTTCTCAGCTACGGATACGGCACGATCCAACTTCAAGATCGAAAAACTCATGACTGTATCGCGGCTACGAAGAGATGATACGATGTCTTGCTTTATAGAAACCAATTTTTCAATCTGCTCCGCTGCTTTGGTGGTCTTTGTTGTCTGCTCCATTTCGCATTGCATAACCATCTCCGCAAAAGCCAATTGCTGCAGTGTCACTCCAAGGTTGACGTCGTCCCTCCTCATCTGAAAAACCTTGGTGAGTGCCGTCTTGAAGGCAGGGGCGCCCCAAGGATCATCGCCGCTCTGTCTCCACGTTTTATTTTCCTTCATCTCTGCTCGCATCTTGTTGCGAGTGGGGAGTTGGTGATCTGTTTGCTGTGACCGCCCAAGCGGGATCCCTTTTTCAGCCCAAAACCAATGTTTCAGTTGCCATGTTATTTCCCCACGCACGGTCGTCATCATTCTGTTGCACTCCCCTATGACTGCTCGAATCCCGCACGACGCTACGTGTGAGCGCAGTCCTTCCTCCGCAATCTCCCCCACCAGTTTGGCCGTGGTTTGCAGCGATGTGAAAAATGCATCCTCTGTAGGGTACAGAGTTGCGTCCTTTGCTGCGGAGAACGCAAAGGCTTTAGCGACCGAGCGGAACAGCCTGCCCCTCATTCTCTTTGTGAATGCGCCGGACTCTTCATTCACTTGATGTTGTCCTCCACTATTCGCGCACACTTTTGCTTGCGAGTTCGTGTCATCTGCTGGGAGACAGACATCACAACGCACATAACAATATTTTAGAACTCAGCAGTCTAAATACATTTTAGCACTAGCGACATTCGGCAGTCTATTTCAACCGCATGTTCATCAAAGTCAAATCCTTGCTTCAGCAATGTGCCTGAACTTTACGAGTCTGAATGTAATCGTTTGGCAAGGGCGGCAACTTCAACGCACTTTGTTTACGTTTTCCAGCAGTATTAGCGTGCCTCACTATTTGTCTGCCAATGGAAGGCGTGTCGGCAGCGCTGCCCTCGTGCGTTGTGTTCCTCCCGGGGACCCTCATGCGTTGTGTTCCTCCCGGGGACCCTCGTGCGTTGTGTTCCTCCCGAGGACGGGGAACTCGCTCTTCTAGATGCGCTTCTGTCGTCTTGGGCTGACCCATCGTCACTCTCTTCGTGCGCAGTGCCGTCGTCACTCCCACCGTCATCGTCGTCAGCCTCGTCAGTGTCGCGAGGATGTCCGTGGGAGGTCTCACTGTCGTCGACCTCGTCCCTTGACGCGTTGTCATCCTCCCTGTCGGACTTTTCCGATGAGGGGTGGTCGTGTTCCTCCTCTGCTTCCTCTCGAGCTCTGCTGTGCACATTGTCCGACCCTCTCAGATCGATCATGTCCACCGTTGTGTCCTTTTTGTGGGAGATTCTCTTCTTTGTCCTGCGGTGCATCTTTGTGATTTGATCTTCCCGCGATCTCTTCTCGGGGGCCCTGGGCGAACGGTTCTCGGCACCGCTGGCACGGCTCCGTGGGGCGGGAGTCGAAGGGGGGGACTCATTGCGTTCTTTCAGCTTTCTTTCAGCTTTGAAAGAACGCGCTGACTTGATGGGACTGAAACTTTTGATCCGTGCTTTCGCCTGCTGGTGCGTCTAGCTTTCGCATTCTCAGATCCGCTTCTGCGATGCTCTCTCGAATCTTTTTTCTTTTCGGCCTTGGATTTCTTCCTCTCCTTGTCCTTTTTTCCCGCGGCCTTCAAAGACTTGCACAGATCCTCGTATTTTGGTCTTGGAGCCATTGCCCTGTTTTCCTCACATACATGAGAGTGGAAAAACAACAACAACTGCGTCAGCAATGTTGTGTGTCGATCCATGCCTCTCTAAAGTGTCGGGGGGCCACATTGAGAGAGAGAGAGAGAGAGAGAGAGAGAGAGAGAGAGGCGCAACCAAGATCTTATTTCTAAAATTGCGACGTCATGCAAGTTACCAACCTCTTTCAGCATCAAAATGATTGTATCTGTTTTATCAGGCGGTTTGGGTTCGCGTACTCAAGGAAAAAAAAATAAAATATACTTCAAAAAAAAAAAACTAATTGGGAAATGCCCCCGTCCATCACCGGGAGAAGGTTGGCTACTGCGGGCCAATCACCTGGTCAAGCCACCGGTCTTTATGTAACAAATGCSYGYAGTAGTGAACTTTCCTCGCATTGTCGTCTCACGGCCTCGACRACAATTCAAGGCTTTCRATGTGTTGCTYTGTCTTYTYTCACATGYCATCCTTGCTYGCTTTCTCTTACYTGCACCCTGTTATTCTGTATTCTGTGTTGCCCCGTCYCCCTTGTTGTGYGACGTCGTAAGTTTCTGTTCYTGTTCACACGTGTTGGTCAACAAGGAATGACAATGACGAATTGCTAAGTTTTTTAGCAAGAAATCGAATCGTTTTTACAGGATAGTTTGGAGAGAGAGAGAGAGAGAGAGAGAGAGAGAGAGAGAGAGAGAGAGAGAGAGACTACTGCGTGCCAAAAGTGAAAGGAATGTCATTGTTGACCCCGTAAATGTCACGCAGTAGTGAACTTTTGGAGACACAGTTGTTTCGCATGTGGTTTTCACCGCTTCATAAACTCGGCCACGTTTGACATGATATTTCTCTAAAAATGACAGAAAGAAAGAGACAAATGTCCTCTCTTGTTCCCCTGAATTTTTTATGAAACAACATGGCTGTCCCGTGATGATTCCAGCTAGACAGACTTACAGAATTCGTCAAACTTTTGATGAAGGCCGTTACAATCTCTCTCTCTCTCTCTCTCTCTCTCTCTCTCTCTCTCTCTCTCTCTCTCTCTCTCTCTCTCTCACTTAGCAAAGATAGAAACTTTGCAATTGTTTTTTCTACAATATGCACTTGTTAAAAAAAAAACAGTCCTCACGCTGTATTGCATGCTGCTTCGATCCCCATTGTGGTTTACAGAAGCGTGGAACAATGTGAACGATGTCTACAATAGTGTCGGTTGATACGACGCTGCTGTGTTGATGTCCATTCAACTTCTCCCATTTCAATTTCTTGCATCTTGTCACGTGTTGCCGTTCATTGTCGACCTCCTTGTACCATTGCACAAATCCGCAGCTGTGTTCCATAATTTCGCTGTTCGTCGGTGCGGCCACGACAAAAAACATGGCTACTGATGCAAACCATGTGCATTCGTTTTCTGCTCTAATTGCGACGTCACTGTGCACTGGTCTCCCATGGAACTGTGGCGACGCTCTTGCAGTTTGAACAAGTGTGCCCTTGTTTGTTTCGTCCTGTACGCAGGCGATGGCCAGGTGTGTTCGTGTGTGTATAAGCAGGTTATCAGAAGGAGGTTTACAACCATTCTCCACCATGTAGGTCGTAAGCGCTGCTCGAAAATCACGTATGAAAGAAAGCTCTTCGAGTATCTTATACGCACGGTTGTCAATGCCTTCTCCCTCCCGTATGTGCTCGTCATCGATGTCGAACCACCGCAGTTGCAGGATTGCCGTATCGCGTAGTGCGAAGGTATTCGTTCCCGTGGCCATGCAGTCTATCACAGACGATCGGTTCTCGACCATTCTCTTCCTCCGTTTCCTCACGATCCCGGTCTCTTCTTGCAACGCCAATGACCGGCGTACGTGGTTCACCATCTGGGTTGAAGCTTTCCGCTTGTTTGATGACAGGTATGGCTGTTTGCARAATTTYCTGTGGTGATGCTCCCAAAYGTCTGTTGCGAAGGTGTCAGGAACAMCGGATCGCTCAATACACGTTCTCAGATGCATCAGATCGTGCAACTTGGGGAGTTTCCATTCTGATGGTTGATATCTCCCCAATTTCGCTTTGATGGTCGTAATGAAGTCCGTGATCAAAGCGTCGCATTCATCGAGCGAAGCACGAGTGTGTGTTGTGCACCGAAACACTCGTACATATATTTCCATCAGTTTCACAAAACAAAGGGTGATGCCCTTGCCTGTCGAGCGCGGGATAATATTACAAATAAGGAACACGCCCACTGTCATCACAGACCGGTTTTGCTTCGCCTCAAACCGACCCTCCCTCGAAAAAACATCGCTGCTAGTGGCCACCGGCAGCACAAGTTGGGGGTATGTTCGCATGCATCTCTCACTACGCTCTGCAACCTGGCATCTAGTTCCTTGAGGATCTCTATTTGCGGTATGTTCGGCAACTTGTCAAACGCTGCCATCCTGAATGCGTCAATCATGTGTAGGAATATGCCATGCTCGATTGTGTGCATACGGTCTGGCTGCAATGCCAGGTGGTAGTCTAGCTGAGGGTCGTCACCATTGGGGCCCCTGTAAAAACCCCAAAGGCCGTTCTTTTGAACATGCCTATGCATGTTCAACTCTGACATTCGTCCTTCCGCTGCACGACGCACGTCGATGTCGTCGGATGTGAACACAACTGCTGTGAGGTGTGTTTCGAGCGTCTGTGATCTCCTGCAGTCCGTGAAATCGGCTAGGACATCAAAGTCGGTTTTGGACACAGTGCATGTTGGGCATACGCCAAACTTCACAGTCGCAAGCGCACATCGTTCTGGGTAGTCCTGTATATAGTTGAGGAGGAAAGGGTGGACAGTTATGTCCCCGAATCGCGTTGTCGGTATCATTATTCCGTCATGAGATGCCTCCTTCGCAAACTGCAACACCACTGTAAGGGCCTTGTGCAAAATGACGGTCTTTCGCTTTCTGAATGCGGTGGACTGTTGACCCCATCCTTTGTCACGTGGACGATGATGAAGAACAGGAAGATAGGCCAGCAGTGTGGCTTCGGATGCGTGGTCGGCTAGGGACATCATCAGAGGGTACGCAGTCTGTTTTTTACGACTGTCCGTGTGTGTCTTGTCAGAATAGAGCGACAGAGGGATAACATAACGTGGATTTTTATTCCCGTCCACACCTTTGTCTGCTCGAATGATCGATTGGATGTGATAACTTAGCGCCACGCTGCGCAGGCTAAATATACTGAGGTCCTCTGACGGCGGGGACACCTCTAGAGAAGACACCGTCTTGCATTTTTATAATGCGATATTAAAAATCGACAGAAATGTGGTTCGCCAATCGCGGTGCCACAAGATGGCGTGCGCATCTCGTGGTCAGTCGTCGCTACGCAGATCCGACTCCTTCCATCCCGTAGCCTCTGCTAGACTGCCTGCCCATGTCAAACACTCTCGACTATTACGGTACGCAATGTCTGTCGTGCTGAATCTCGGGTCTTTGAGAAGTGACAAGAGAGTATCTATGTCACTCTGCGACATACCGACGCCGCCCCTGGCAGAGAAAATCAGTGCCGCAAGCTTGCGAGAGCTGTCAAAAGACTCAGCAGGCGCTCACGAGATTCACTGCACCTATGTTTGATGGCCCGCAGGCGTCAACAACACTCATCTCCTGCCCTTGTTCTCTTTTGTCCACCACCGTCGGGCATGCCCTCGCACAATGTGAATTCAAAGTTCGTAAGGATATGAAAGGCCTGCCACAGTCGCATACCCGTTGACCGCTGTCCATTTTCTGTGCATGCAGTCCATTCCAAAGACAAACAGAACGGTGCAGACAGTGCTTTGATTAACATTTTTTACATTGGTTGAGGTCATTCGAATTCTAAGTTGCACAGCATATTTTGTTATATTCTGTAAGTGTTACCCTTCCTCTTCTGTGTGTGAGAGAGAGAACGATGGAGTCTTGAATGTCGTTTTGGGAACTGACAGTCTTTTTCACTGATCCCGATTGACAAAGATTAGCAGTCAGACGTGTGACATGATAATGTATATGCCACGATAGGTTCCATGATTCTGTTGGAAAAGGCAACGACTTGTACAAGGTACACGATATGTGACATGACGTTCATCACCACGTTTGTGCGGCTGGTTAAGTTTGCAACTATCCATCCATAACGTTTGTGAATGTGGTATGTGTTTTCTGCGTCTGCATCAAAATTATTGCATATCGGCACCTCAGCCGACCTCCGCATCCATTGCCAAAACATTTCACACCTGCAAAATTTGAATTGACGTCACAAAGAATGCAAAAAAAAAATAATAATAAAAAACACAACATACACACATTGGTCATCATAGGGGGTGTGATGTGTCTCACGTGCTACAGAAGGCAACAAATTATGACATACATTGTAACAATCATCAAATGATTGAAATAAATTTGCACCCAATGTCTGGACGCTGTTGTGAACCGCGTGTACTTGGAGAGGCAAACAACAGGCAGCATGACACAGAGCCTGTAGACGGATGTACAGGTTGTACTATAACTACAACTAGACATACGAGAGAGAGAGAGAGAGAGAGAGAGAGAGAGAGAGAGAGAGAGAGAGAGAGAGAGAGAGAGAGAGAGAATGGTTCACTAGTGCGGGCCAGAACAACAACAAACAACACCAGTGGATACTTATATGGCACACAGTAGTGAACCCGACCGTGGTTGAGGGATGTACAAGTTGAGGGTTGTTTGTACAACTACTCCATTGCTATATGCTATGTATGTCTGTTATCAGGTTGACTGCGAACTATGGCGTCTCCTGTTGAGAGATGTCGTGGCCGAGCACCAACTATGGCGTCTCCTGTTGACAAGCCGGGGTTCAATGTCTCTCCGCAAGTTGTCGCCATTGCGCCGTGTATGAGGCAACTGAGGTTGATTCCCCACGTCAGTGACGTTGCTAGCACAGCCTCTCTGTTCACTAGAACAAACCATCCCTTGCCAACACGTGACCACTTTTTCCCCTTGTTGCATGCTTGCATTATAGTGGTGACTGCGGCATACTGTAGAGCACCGTCAGGTGTTGCCCCCTTCATCACAACATGCAGCACATTGTGCGGATCGGGGAAAACACGTGCCAACCTCAGAACTGCATGTGCCCAACCTTTTGACATTTGTCCACCTGCCCCCTTTAAATCATAGTAAACATCATCTTCCTCGTCTACCTCGTCGTTGCTGACATCGCTGCCGCTCACCTCCACGTCAGAAGACGATGCCTCCTCATCCTCTTCTTCATCTTCTTCTATATCCTCATCCTCTTCTTCACTTCCACCCTTCTTCTCTTTCTCTTTGTCTCTCAACATCGCAACTTGCAAGACTGAGCCGGTCCAAAACGCGTGACAATAAGTCCCCCCACAACGGTCTGCCGGATATGAAGTCGTCTTCTCCTCTCGCTGGCACAAATTCGATCAGATCTTTACCCTGGAGTGCAAACTCTTACACTTCGTGCAACGCCTCGTGGATGACGTTCCTGTCCTCATCACTCTTTTTCATGAAATCGCAGAGCTGATCCAGCAGAACATATTCTACACCATCTGCAACAATTACAGGAACATCTTGAAAGTCCTGTGGTGGTGTTTGTGTGATGTCCTTCATTCTGGACAACACCAAGATCTCTGCACCACCACTTTTCAACTCGTCCTTGGACCCATCAACAAGCATGTCGGAGTTCTTCGCCACAGTGCCCAATAACTTTTTGAAATCTGCAGGTGCATACGTTCCCCCTTTTTGGTGCATTGTCATGTCCACGTCTCCATCTTCGCACATCCCTTCGTTGCACATCCACTGAACCACTCCTTTTAGACTATAAAGACTGTGTTCCACTTCGTTGTCCACACGTACATGTGGTGAAAGAGCATTCGTGCCTTGACACAACCCTCATCATTTGCCGTGATTGAGGATCTCATATCCACACTGACTGCGAAGTACCTCGGCACCCTCTTCTTCAGCAAAGAGAACTCGATGTCACCGTTGTAGTGGATGCCCTCTGCTGCATACTTCATTACCTCAGCAAGAGCCTTCTCCACCTGTGCTACCGACATCGACATGATGGTACAGTTTGTCTTTTGTCCTCTTCTCTCTGCCAGGCGAAACGCACAATGACATCATCGACATGCGTGTGTGTGTGTGTGTGTGTGTGTGTGTGTGTGTGTGTACATGTGCATTGGCGTGTGTGTTGTGCATGGTCTGTGCATGGTCTCCTTGTATGTGCCCAAGTAGGCTACTGCGTGCCATTCCAAGTCGCAACGGTGGTGATTCCTCAGATTCTGGCCCGCAGTAGCCAACTTCATTGCTGCATGCCTGAATGTGTGTTTGTGTGTGTGTGTGTGAATGTGTGTGTGTGTGTATGTGTATTAGTGTACATGTGCATTGATGTGTGTGTGTGTGTATGGTCTGTGCGTGTGTCTCCTTCACTGTGCCCAAGTTGGCTACTGCGTGCCATTATCCGTCGCAACGGTCGTGATTCCTCAGATTCTGGCACGCAGTAACCAACTTCATTGCTACATGCCAGAATGTGTGTTTGTGTGTGTGTGTGTGTGTGTGTCTGTGTGTGTGTGTGTGTGTGTGTGTGTGTGCGTGTGTGTGTGTGTGTGTGTGTGTGTGTGTGTGGCAGACAGACAGACAGACATACACACAGACAGACGTACAGAGAGACACACACACACATACATATGGACAAACAGATAGACAACATGGTTGACAGACAGACAGACATACACACAGACAGACGTACAGAGAGACACACACACACATACATATGGACAGACAGATAGACAACATGGTTGACAGACAGACAGACACACACACCACACACAGACAGACAAACAGACAAACAGACTGACAGACAGACTGACAAACTGACTGACAAACACACACACACCGAGCCAAACAGACAGACAAACATAAAGACAGACAGAAAAACAGACAGACAAACAGACAGACGAAGTTGGCTACTGGGTACTATTCCCCTCGGAGAGAGATGTCATTCGCAAGTTTCTGGCACGCAGTAGCCGAATTCAAGGCTGCATGCCTGTGTGTGTGTGTGTGTGTGTGTGTGTGTGTGTGTGTGTGTGTGAGAGAGAGAGAGAGAGAGAGACATACAGGCAGACAGACAGACAGATACACAGATAGACATATATACACATAGACGGACAGACTGGCAGATAGAGAAACAGAGAGACAGACAGACGGACAGACAGACAGACAGACAGACATTCACACACATGCACAGCCAGACAGGCAAACATACAGACAGACACACAGACAGGCAGACAGGCAGACAGACAAACAGACAGAGCGACAGACTGAGAGACAGACAGACATACAGACACACATGTGCAGAGACAGACAGACAAACATACAAACAGACAGACAAACAGACAGACAAACAGACAGACAGACAGACAAACAGACGGCGGGGACAGACTGCCAGAAGACATGAAAAACAGACACACACATGCACAGACAGATAGACAGACAGACAGACAGACAGACACACAGACACACAGACACACAGACACTAGGACATACAGACAGATAGACAGACACACACATGCACAGACAGACAGACAAACATGTTGACAGACAGACAGACAGACAAATAGGCAGACAGACAAACAGACAGACGAAGTTGGCTAGTGGGTGCAATTCCCCGTCCCAACTGTCATCATTCGTCGGTTTCTGGCACGCAGTAGCCAACTTCAATGTTGCATGTCAGAATATGTGTGTGTGTGTGTGTGTGTGTGTGTGTGTGTGTGTGTGCGTGCGTGCGTGCGTGCGTGTGTGTGTGTGTTGCAGACAGACATACAAACAGACAAACGTACATAACATATGGAGCAGACGGACCACAGAACTTCTTTGTGTTGTCCATGTATATCTGTGACCTATGTGTATTTATTCTTGCGATAGAGGTTGGACAATGCAACGTAGTCCCACGTTCAGCCATTCGACATTATTATAGGTGTTTGTTGTTTGAATAAGAGGGGAGGAAGCAACATTTGGAATCACCTTTTTATCTGTCTCTCCCCTCATTTTTATAGATTTCTTCATTGGATGAAACCAAGCATGTTTATGCATTGAAACCAAGAAAGGAAGAAGACGAAAAAAAAAAACCTCTCTCTCTCTCTCTCTCTCTCTCTCTCTCTCTCTCATAATTATACATTCAAACCAAGATACTTGAAGAAAGGAAGAACATAAAATTAAAAGCGATAGAGAGTTAAAGAAAAAAAGTAAGAAAGAAAGAAAGGAGAACAAGAAAAAAACAAAAAAAGAAGAGGTTCACTAGTTGGAGGCAAAATCAGCGACAGTGTCGTCTATCTATACATATATGTCCCCCACTAGTAAACTTGATCTCTCTCTCTCTCTCTCTCTCTCTCTCTCTCTCTCTTCATATAAGCCACCGAACACCAGGAAGACTAACCATGACAGAAACAGACGGGACAACCATTATGCGACACACACAACACAATTCTCAAGCAGCCTTTTTTTTCGCCCCCCCCCTTTTACGAGGCACTGCTTTCCTCTTCTTCGCGCCTGCTCTGCTGCCATCCGTCTCCGCCTGTCTGGCCTCCATCCGTCGCTGCCTCTCGTCTGCTCTTCTCCTCGCGCCCAACATACCTTCATATTTCTCCACCCAACGAGGCTTCGACAACCTATCCACCAGCCTCATGTCCTTGACCTGGATCGTCACCCTCTTCGAGTGGATCGCGACCTCGTTGGTGTTCTCGAAATTGGCAACCAGGTACGCCTCAGCAGCCTCCATCAAAGCACACACCGCCGTCATCTGAAACCTCACGCCCGCACCAGGAGCAATGGTCTCCTCCACAACCTCGCGCACGATCCGCAAGAATGGCCTGAAAGCCAAGCAGAGGTCGGTGGATCGTTGCAACTTCCTGATTTCCGCCAGAGTTGCCATCCCGGGGCGTCGACGGCGTCTGTGGGGCTGACTGCGTGCATCTGCAATGTCATCGGTGGCTGGCACGGGCTTCGGGCTCTTCTTCTTTTTGCCCGCAGCCGTCTTTCCAGTTGGCGTTTTCGACGCGCACTTCTTCATCTTTCTCGGGCTCTGGGACATCGCAGCGTGACTTGGGCCGGCCGTGTCCCCCTATGCTGCAGAGCACCCTGCGCTGCCACAAGCACCACATGCGCCCTCCACCTCAGCAGACAAACGGGAAATTCCGGAGCGTTTCTTTGTCCTCTTGCCTTTCCACGTCAATCCACCTGCCAAGTCGTTCTCCACGACATACCGAATGTCTCGCAGGAGTCCATCTGAGTAGGTCAGATGGAAAGGCACACCAAGCGGGTCTGTGAATGTCATGGTGACGTCTCCACCATGCTCGTATGTCATGGGACATACGACTGGGACCCAACCAAGAAGGGTCGTGCAACGGTGCCTGTGGCGAATGTGAGCCATTTATATGTTCTCACCGTCACCGTGCTCTTGCCCAGCGCAACTCCCCTCAACCATGGACCACATCCCCTGGTCTGCCATGGAGTCGTAACCCGCACGCACCATCTGACGGTCCTCCTCCCTGATCTTCTCCCAACAGCGCTTTGCGTGTTCAACCAACGGCACGTGGTCCTTAACATTTACATTGAAAATTGAGACACGTGCCAGAACAACCAGGAACTGCCAATGCTCCACAATGCCTGCATGCATCCATCCCAATGGGAGCCACTGCCCTGACTGCAGCTTTGCTGCCATCGTCACCTTGCCATCAACGACTGCAGGATGCAAACATCCCGGGACCCATTGATGCGATAGGCATACTTTTCAGGGGTCATATGCTGCTGCAACTGTCCCTCAGGGATGACATGGGCCCCAATGTCCGTGGCAGTCAAAACGTCACGCCTCAATGTGACGTGGTCCCATATCTGCGACCATAGTCCATCATACGTGGCTTCCTGCCCTCTTGCAGCTGTGTATGTGGCACCATCCTCACCAGAGAACAGTTTCCCGTCCACCACCCCCAACTCCATAGGGTTCCGAAGCGGCGGAAAAAAACACCCAGCAGTATGAGGGGGACATGTCATTGCCTTCTTCTCCTCTTCTAACACCTCCCTGTTGAGATTCCTGAAGGAGAGCATACCATTGATGTAATGCATGTTCCAGACATTTCCCATGGCATCACGCATCTGCATCCTCACCCGGCCACATGTAATCGGGATCTCATATGGCACCAAACCCCACCTAGGATCCCTCCTTGCATCATTCTCAGGGCACACCGTTCTCGCTGCTGCATTGTTCCCACCAATCACCCATGGCGTTCCGCAATCAAAACTGTCGTACAAAAAATCGTTAAGCCTCAACTCGCCCTTTGCCTCGAGAACACGCCACATTTTCAATGCATGTTGCCCTTTCTCCCGAGCTCTTGCCGCATCGTTCAACCTTATAACTCTGTCAAACACAATTGACAGAGTCACGTTTCGCCATGCGCTTGTTTTGGGGACAGGAAATGGAACCCAAGTCCCAACCACTTTGAACGCGGAGCAGGGTACTCCTCCAACAATACCCGGTTGAACACGACCAGACACCCAATTGATGTCATATGGGAACTGTTCCCCTGCTAATGTCTTGACCACATTTTCATCCTCAACAATACACCCTGCATGATTTTCCCTGCTTCCCATACCTCCCTCTCCTCTCTCTTCCCCAACCTTTTCCGTCTCACAAGTGCTCCCTCCTTCATCATTGTCTGATTCATCACCATCACCCATCATCTCTGCACTCTGTGCATATATTGTTGTCAGCACGTCTGCACAGTCAGTGGTGTTCATCTCAATCGAATTCCCTTCCTTGCGGCCATCTGCAAGACCCTTCACAATGTCCTCTGTCTCCATGGCGCAAGTCTCTCCAGCGTTGACAGTCGATGCAATCGGGGGTTCCATCTATTGCATGAGACACCACGTACATTTATGAGAACACGTAGCTCCGCCATGCCCCCCTCACCCCACAGAGAGAGAGAGAGAGAGAGAGAGAGAGAGAGAGAGAGAGAGAGAGAGAGAGTTTTGACAGTAGAGAGAGGTTGCTTACTGCGGGCCATAACTCCAACAAACATCACATTTTTGCCAAATACAGACGAAGTAGTGAACCTCTGACAGAGAGACATGCATAGATACAGCAATAGCACGAGGTTCACTACTGCGGGCCAGAACGACAACAAACAGCACCGGTTAACACTTACATGGCACGCAGTAGTGAACCTTCCGTAGTTGGGAAACTACAGCGTGCTACCACCGCGAGGTTCACTACTGCGAGCCATAACTCCAACAAACATCACTTGAGAGACTGAAATTGGCCGGCAATAGTGAACTTCATGCTGTCGGACAGGCTGTGATGCATCGACAGAGGGCGGTTCACTACTGCGGGCCACAACAACAACAAACAGCACCGGTTAACACTTACATGGCACGCAGTAGTGAACCTTCCCTAGTAAGGAAACTACAGTGTGCTACCACCGCGAGGTTCACTACTGCGGGCATAAATCCAACAAACATCAGTTGAGAGACTGAAATTAGCCGGTAGTAGTTAACCTCATGCTGTCGAACAAGTTGTGATGCATCAATAGAGGGCGGTTCACTACTGCGGGCCAGAACGACAACAAACAGCACCGGTTAACACGTACATGGCACGCACTAGTGAACCTTCCGTAGTTGGGAAACTACAGTGTGCTACCACCACGAGGTTCACTACTGCGGGCCATAACTCCAACAAACATGACATGAGATATGAAAATTGGCCGGCAGTAATGAACCTTGTGGTGTCGGACAGACAGTGATGCAGCGACAGAGGCCGGTTCACTACTGCGGGCCAGAACGACAACAAACAGCATCGGTTAACACTTACGTGGCACGCAGTAGTGAACCTTCCGTAGTTGGGAAACTACAACGTGCTACCACCGCGAGGTTCAGTACTGCGGGTCATAACTCCAACAAACATCACTTCAGAGACCGAAATTGGCCGCCAATAGTGAACTTCATGCTGTCGAACAGGCAGTGGTGCATCGACAGAGGGTGGTTCACTACTGCGGGCCAGAACGACAACAAACAACACCGGTTAAGACTTACATGGCACGAAGTAGTGAACCTTCCGTAGTTGGGAAACTACAGAGTGTACTCTCACGGAAGGTTCACTACTGCGGGCCATAACTCCAACAAACATCACTTCAGAGACCGAAATCGGCCGCCAGTAGTGAACTTCATGCTGTCGGACAGGCTGTGATGCATTTACAGAGGGCGGTTCAGTACTGCGGGTCAGAACGACAACAAACAGCACCGGTTAACACTTACATGGCACGCAGTAGTGAACCTTCCATAGCAGGGAAACTACAGTGTGCTACCACCGCGAGGTTCACTACTGCGGGTCATAACTCCAACAAACAGCACTTAAGAGACCTTAATTGGCCGGCAGTAGTGAACCTCATGTTGTCCGAGAGGCAGTCATGCAGCGACAACGACGGTTTACTACTGCGGAGCAGAACGACAACACACAGCGCGAGAGGAATATGTACATGGCAAGCAATAGCCAACCGCAAGTATGTGAATGCAAGAGAGAGAGAGAGAGAGAGAGAGAGAGAGAGAGAGAGAGAGAGAGAGAGAGAGAGAGATCACGCGTTCCTGACCACCCGCGCTGCCACGATTTGACATCTAGTGTAGATAGTTTTTAAGCAGTCGTGGATATGTAGTCCTTTCCTGCAATGCTCACATTTCTTATTCCCTCCATGCTGGCCTGCGTTCGTAAAGACTGGTGTCATAATCTCTTTGATGTATGATATGAGATGGGACAGACAGTCCGCAACCAGCTTCGCCATTTGTCGAGAATTCGCATTTGCAACAAACTTTTCGAATGTGTCCGTCGTCGTTGGCAGCATTACAGATTCTGCATCAGCAGAAGGTGCTCTGCTGGCAACGACACAAGGGAAGTTGTGACGAACCTGGTGACAGTTCAGTGCTGCAACATCGGTGCATACGAGCAGGGGATGCGGCGCAGGCGCAAGTTCCACGACACTGGTCCCGATCTCTCTGGACGTTTGCATTGTTGTGTTGAGTTCTTCCCTCGCCTTCGACCTTTCACCTTCTGCACTTCCCATGACAACTTCATTCACACATGTCACCGTCAGTTCTCCACCCAACAACCTACCTCGAGTGTGTTGCAGGGCATCCATGACGTCCGCGCAACTGCTCAACAGAGACGCCATATTGCTAGGAAGGTCATCCTTAACAGACGTCACACCCTCGTCACAAAGACCGTATTCTTCCATGGTTTCCACACAGTGCCGAATACAGTCTTCTGCGAAGGCCAAGAGGTCAACGACACTGTGTCCCGAAGCAGATAGCGAACATGTAGTATACGCTTGGCTATCGTAGGATGCCCACCCCTCCTTCAGCACACACTTGCCAGGGCTGGCACAAGACGCGACATTCCGTCGTTGTGATTCCCCATGAGTTCTCTCTGTGACATGGGCTGCGAACCGATTCAAGACCGCAGTGCGCCTGCGCCTTTCAATATCCAACCATGTCTGGAACTCATCAAAAGTGGTGGTCTTTGTTTCAGCTATTGCCTTCGGTCTGGCAGGCATGTCCTCCCTCAGACGAGTTATACCTAAACATTTAGGATCGTCCCGTAACAACCAGAACATGGTGAACATCCTGTGTTCTGCAGTTTCTGTCATTTCTTCGAGCAGTGACTTAACACGGCCTAGTTCGTCCGAGAACTCTCTCACCAATTGTTTCTGCTTATCCACTTCCTCTCTTAGCATGTTTATATGTTCTCGTTGTTTGTCTACTATACGACCCTTGTTGGGTTCCATGTCAGTCGTCTTATCTTCTTTGGCCCCCGGTAGTAGAAAGTCATCCACCGTTGCATGACACTCTTCGCCTGACTTTCTCTTCTGTCCGATTTTGGTCACTCTTGACATCTGGAAACGGTTTTATATACAGAGAAATATGTGTGGAGAGAGAGAGAGAGAAAGAAAGAGAGAGAGGTGCAGAGACAGGGTCTCCCTACTTCCTCACTTTTTGTCAACGGGCTCCTACAAAAGATTGCCTATATGTGCATGAAAACATACATTGTTGTTTTGTGCTGTACATCTGCGTTTCCCCCATACATGACTCGATATCACGCAGACAACATGCCTTAACAAAAAGAAAGAAGACCATTATTCCAAACGCATCCGTCCGAATGAGGGAGAGAGAGAGACACGAACGCAAGAAAAAAAAATTGTAGAAAGAGAGAGAAAGAGGGAGAGAGTGAGAAAAAGTGAGAGAGAGAGAGAGAGAGAGAGAGAGAGAGAGAGAGAGAGAGAGAGAGAGAGAGAATAATAGAATAAAAGAGACGTCGGGAATAAACAAAGAAGACGGAAAGAAGGCAAACGAAAACGTATGGAGTTCACTACTGCGGGCTAAAATCGCACTTATGTACACCGTTCTATGCATTTGTGGTCCGCAATAGTGAACTCTCTCTCTCTCTCCTCTCATCTCTCTCTCTCTCTCTCTCTCTCTCTCTCTCTCTCTCTCTCTCTCTCTCTCTGTGTAGACAAAACACAACGTAAAAAGAAAATTTACAAACGAAAAGAGAAGAAGAAGAAGACGAAGAAGAAGAACAAGAGGAGAAAAAGGAAGAAGAAGAAAAAGAAGAAGAACAAGAAGAAGACGAAGAGGAAG